TTGTATCATTCACATTTTCAACGTGTACAGATGAGCAGTAACCTTTACGCCAGAGAAAAAGCTTGTAAGATGTGGGGTTATAAATCATAACTTTTCTTTTTTTGAATTCTTTTACACACTCATTTTATTATAAAGTCTCATCAAACCATTTGCATAAGATGACTTTAATTCAGTATAATACAAGCGAGAAGCTCTACTTGAAGTGAGATACTTGTTTTTGTCTTGATACTTGGTTAATTCTACTTAGATTTTGATAAAGCGTAAGTTTGATTTGACTTATATTTTCAATGAATGTGAGGTAAAAACGATACAAACCACAAAATAGGGTATAAGGGTCAACAGGACGTAAGTTTAGTTGAAATAAGTGAATACTTGTGAATATCATCCAAATCATAAATACGGCGTTGTAACTTGTTACAACGATTTCGCACGTCACCAATAAAGCCAATATAGAGACTATCAACATAAAAAATTTTCCGCTGATAATGAACCATACATTTTTACATTATTCTGTACTTTGGCAGTATTTTAGCGTTCGGCAGTATTTATATATTTCAAAGTGAAATATGTGAAAGTTCTTCTGTCTTGTATGTGTACTATAACATGAAAAATGCGTTCGAATGTAAATGACGAGAATTATCATATTAAAAAGATGCTGTTGATTTTCTGTTGGTTTTTTTTAATGGGAATGAATCTGGTAATCCACATTTTTGACCGCTTTTCTCAAATAAATACAAGGTCTCACATAATCATTTTAGAAAATCAAATATCCACTTAAAATAACCAAACCATTGCGATATTTTTGCAATTTCCTTTTGAAATTTAGTGACAGTAATAACAAAAATAAATTGTTTTTTTATACATACGTAATCATGTGAACCTCCAGAAAAAAAAAATCAATGAGCAGTCTTGGATGCAGATTTTCCTACCACTATTAACTCGCGTGACTCGATAAATAATCAAAACAGTGACGATAACACCAGCTTCAACATTCATTTTACAAGCATGTATAGTACAAAAAGAAAACTGACATCAGTTTGGGCACGTTGATGGAGGAAAAGCGTTTTAAGCTGCACCAACGTAAAGTATACACAGGGATCAGAATAAGAAGATCACAGGGAGGAAAAGAGAGTAGTTGGAGTAGATGATCCGATGTATATTATAGAGTGAGAATGAGGAAATAAGAGAGGTACATTTCCCACGGGACTTTACGTACGTGTAGCACCAGTCGATCGTCGTGAGAGGACTTTTTACTTGGGAGCGAGCATTGATACGCTATGTCCCTGTCGAGTTTTCTGTACGAAGAGCGAGAGAAAAAAGAGACAAAGAGACTCCCGTCGATCCGAAGGTGCGAGCTCGATAATCGTGCGCCGAGGCACAAACTATCGCATTAACCCGATCCTTCGTCTCCGTGTGCTCTTTTTCTTCTCTTTGCTCTCTGTAGATCGGAAAATCACGACTTTGCCGTATTCTTCTGATTTTTCGACGTAGACGCGACGTGAGGGATATAGGTAAGACTGCGACTATGGAAAATTGGCTTGAAAGTGATGACTTGATTTCACGTACAGGGAGCTAAGAAGCGCGTAGCTACTTTTTTTGCTCTCCAATATTTACCTATAGACGGTACATATTTTGCCTATATCGTTTATCCATTAGTAGTATCATATCACGTTACTTCTGTTTAACTGTTACAGTATTCAAACATTCAAAATTATTTCAAGTACGTAAAACGATTCTGTCTTCAGCCATAGCTTCGAAGAGAGTCCTACTCGGCGTTGGTGAGTCGATTTTTCTATAGGAAAGTACGTCCTCACGTTATTACGAAGATATGGGGTGACACGAGAATACACTCAAAGATAATGATGGCTTCAAAATGCGTGTCTTGAAAAATGTTATGATTTTTCACGAGCTCTGGGGTCTTATGTCACTTAAACGACGGAGTGCGCAACCTCGCAGTTCGTACAAAATTCAAATGGCCCAACAATCCGACATCAACTGCAAAATTTTCCGTGAATCAGCTGTGCGTTTGTTTTATTCATCACTGTTAGTCGGTGAGTGGAGTGGTAAGTTATTTTTTTATTTTCTTCAAGGTAAATAAATCGATTACGCACTGACAGTGAAATAATGGCAATGCCGTGTTCCACGTTTTTATTCATTTCCTTCAAACTCAAGAAAAAAGTAAGTTACAGATAATCATAAGTAATTCAGATGTGAAATACCATTTACCTTATACGTTTATGGGTGAATTAAGATAAAGTATTAATAAATTATACTCACTTCTAAAATCACCGATACGCAAAAAACGTAAGTTATTAGTTGTATCGATCCAGTTTCAACGCGTACATACGTTGACTTTTATATCGGCATCAGTTTCGTTTCCTTCAACGTCATTTTTCACATTAATTCCATCAAATTCCTACCACTTTATCTGGATGTTATTTACCTTTCTTCTACATCCTTCGCACCTCTTCCTATTGTTTTTCTTTTCTTCGACTCATTTTATTCCATTCCTCCGTTCTTATCAAAAGTATACATCACGAAGCTCGAGCACTCTTTTCAGAGTTGCAATAATTTCCGAACCAAATTTCAATTCCAGTCAGTTCTTTTAACAGTGTACGATGATCTTCAACTTTGCGTGTCTGGATAAGTGTAAACTCATTGACGTTCAACTTTTATAAAATTTCTTGTCAATGTAATGATTACCAAGTAGGATTCTGTACGTATATCTTCTCAATTTATACTGCGTTACTGTTTTGTTAAAAATCTAAATTGAACTTTGGATAATATCCATACATACTATCCCGAAGATGTCATTATTGATGGCATAATTGAAACCTTCTTACTTCTATTTCATTACTAGTATTTCTCCAAAAAACCATTAAGAAGAGCTTTTTTTAAAATATCACGCCCAATTTACCAGCTCGTAGTTTACAAAGAGTATAAGGTAAGCCTACGTATCGCGACCATCGTGTACGTATACAGCAAAAGGAAATTGCATTAGGCGTGATATTTTCCCCGCCACCTCGCACCAGCGATACCTACATGTGCATGTACATCAGTGGTGCACATAGGCTTCCCTCACCACCGTGAAGTTCCCTTTGCTCGACCGGAGGAGTATTCGCGCGCGCGCGTGCCGAGAAGCAACAACAGCAGCAGCAACTCGAGGCGAAACTAATTTTAAGCCGCAAGACAGAAGTCGGCCTTAATAGCTGTCGAAAAGTTTGGCTTGTACAACCTGCCCGGGCGTGGGAGAGCTTTCGCGCTTCTTACACACGCATCCCTTAATAGCCATATTTTGCTTCTGTTTGTACGTTTTATGTTGCGCGAATTAATGAGATGGCACGAGTGCGAATTGCCCTTTTTTTGTTGCCATGTAATTAATTCCTGGATGATTTTTTTTGCCCCATCTGACTTTTCGCGAGGATGAAACTCGAAACCCTGAACTTTCAAGCTTCAAACGTTCAAGGGGTTTTCATTATGAGATCGCGAGGTGGCGTTCAATTCTCTTACCACCAGTAATAAGATTCATTATGGATACGCGTGCATCATTAAATTCTTTTCTTCTAATTTTCATGAAAAATGGTTTTTAAGGATTGGTTAAAAAATATCGGTACCCAATTACCTATTTTGACCATTAAAGTGATAAACTTCAATTCAATTTAATTGAAATCGCTACAGTACCAACCTGTGACGATTTTAGGTTTATTTGATCAAAAAGTTGTCTTCTGCAAATTTTCGAACGAGTAAGTTTACATTTTAGTTGTTTTGTTCAATTAACGAAGAACAATGTACACACAACTTTTGCACGAAATTTAAACTGATTTGGTTAAGAACAGATATCATATCCATTCATAGTTTATATAATAAAACAAATTTTTCAACATACGATTTTCATCAACTACGAACTTAGAGAGTTGGATTACATGTCAATATTGCTGGGTCTTTTACTTCCTATCACGCAAAATGCCCTCATTAACCATGTTAAACTAATTTCTATCGTTTGCATTACAAATCTGAACGTGATATATGTACGATATGTCATATTCAAGGTTTAATATTAGATGTTGTAGATACCAGTGTAGCATTTAAAGAATCAATAAGATACGGATCACCACCCATCACCCTAAACCAAAAAGAGCAATCGTTCGTTTCATAGCCAGTTTCTTATGATGAACAAAAACGTCCATTAGGTTTAGGTTCAGCTTTGAATCTAGATATTTTTATATTTAATAGTCCTACGCTGAGTCAGGTCATGCAAAAATTGGCATGATTTTTAAAAGTATATACATTCTAAATTGTAAAAAATATGAACTTCACAGTATTAAATGAGTTTAAACGTATTTTTTACGTTTAAAAAAATCCAAAAGAATACTATTGATGTTCCAGAACTTTATTCTCGCAATTGAACTTACTTAAGTGTCAATATCCAAACGACTTAAAACTATTTAAATAGACACAAGACATACAAAACATTGAATAAGTGTTATGCTGTTTGGATCGTGCAAAAAAAAACTGTTTAAAGGTCAGTTACTCGACTTACGAGTTGTATTACCATATGTTGTCATAATATTTGGATACACTGAGAAATAAAATCTTGGCCGTCTTACGGTTTCTATACCCACAATTTTTTGGTTGCACTGAACACAACAAACGTTTTGAATTCTTTTAATTTTCTTAGACATGATTCAACTCTCACGTAAAAATACACAGACCAAATCAAAAGAGTCTGAGATAAAAACATGTATTGGAATCATTATTTATCACAAATTTTTGCGATTTGCTTCAGATAGTATATAGTTAGGTTTAAAATCTGATGTAATAGAGTAAAAACTTGTGGTTGTGTGTACGATAAGGCCATTGTGGCTCTATTTTTCAGTGCATCTATGACGTAATGACAATGTGTGGTACCTAAACAATACAAGTTTAGGTCTCATTTATAACATCCAACAGTATGGATAAGTTCCGTTAACCACACAAAATAAAAAAAAAAAAACACTCACGAGGCTAAACTCCATGACCTTGAGTAACCAGAGGGTAAGTGCCAAGTTGAGTATGACCACGACAGCGAGTCCGAACAGCAGAAAGTACAGGCAGCGCCTCCTCCAGCCATAGACACCGAATCTTAGGCCTCTTTTGCAGCCACTCGTCGTCGTCGTTGTCGTCGTGGCACTGCTATTGTGGCAGTGCTGAGTTGATGCAGTGGTCGAGCCATTGTTGTTGGTGCCGAAATCGGCTGAAGAAGACGAATGGCGGTTTCCGTCACTCGTACTTTGGCGTGGCATGCTGCTTGTGTTACTCGGTCCGTCTGGCCAGCTGGTGGATTGGCCTTTAGGTAGTCTGGAATAAAAGTAAAGGTGAGTGGTGAAAAGTTTTTTTATTTTATTTTTTTTAAACTTCTTTGTTTCTATTTGGAAAATATTTTCGATCGCTTTTTAACTATTTCCTTATAGGTTGCGGGAGGGTGAGATTAGGTTTTACCGTTGTATTTTCTTTGAAATCCAAGAACTGAAACAGAAGACGGTATGGATTGGAGTAACATGTTTCTGTCATAAACATAACCTCTCCCTATCATGTCTTTTTGGTGATTATAAAAATTAGTTTTTAATTTATGGAGATATTCAGTACCCAAGAATAATATGAAATCCTTAGAAGGACTGAACAACTTAATCACCAGTGCAATAACAAGGTAATTACAAATAATGAACTGAGCAAGTTTCCACGCGAAGTTGATAGTAGTACGATAAAACAAAACGCAGTCCAACATCGGACTAATCGCCGTAGTGGCGACAATAATTTTCCGACTATTCATCCAAAGTTATTGCGTGGGTAGTAATCAACGGACTAAGCCCAGAGCAAGTAGAGGATTATAAATGAAAAGGAACGCCTATTAAATGGTTTCAAAGTACTAGTAGCTCATTTAGTTGGGTAGGGATGGAGTGACCCGCTTTCGAGTGGTATCTGGAACAAGATTTGGAATTAGGATCGATTTTTTTTTTTACGTCAGTAAATTGGTTTTATAAATCAGTTGCAAAATATTTTTTTGAAACTTCATGAATATTTTGATGCTTGATCGAAAGAACGTATCGTCTCAAAAAATTTATTTTCTTTTCAAAAACGGATCATATTAAAAAATCAAAAAAATAATTCCTCAAAAACTTTAAAAAAAAAAACGTATTCCGTTTAGGTGATACGTTTCTCCAATAAGTTTTTTGAAATTGTATTTTAGAGAAAATTTTTTAAAAATAATACGGTTATTTAGACTTTTTGGATTGAACAGTCGAACAACAACAATAATAATTGATGAATCTTTTACAAATAACACCAGTATAAGGAAACGGAACTAGCGTAAAAAAATAAGTTTTCACGAAAGACATAATTGAATTGATATTCCATCTACTTTTAGAACTAATAACGAGCCGGAGTTAAAAAAAAAAAATTTTATTTTCACAAATACCTTTCCATACAAACTCCGCATTCAGTCGCGAAAAAAAAGAGATAAAAGCGTTTTATCCACGGAGAATTTAAAATTGGCACACAACAATCCGGATAATTTGATTCAAGAGTATCCTGTTGAACTGGGCCACATATTTTTTTCATGCATCTCACTCTCTACACACACATACGTGGGAATTTTTCCATCCCTCGTGCTGGCTGGGTGCATTCATAAGATAATAAGGATTACACACACTGGCGACTGGAAGGGAAAATTTAAAAGCCAATTAGGCAATCCCGATAAGAGATAAAGTCCAAGGGTGCAAGAGGGTGAGAGGGAGAGAGAGAGTGAGAGAGAGAGAAAGAAATGCAGACGGGCAAACGAGGGAAAGAGAGCCACGCGCAGAAGTTATGCAAAGCTGGCTGCCACCGACGCCACCCGCAAAATGCCCGACATAATTTTGTTCGGCTAATCCCCCCTACTTCCTTTTACTCCCCCTCCCATATCCGACTGCTCCAGAGAAGTAGTAGTTTCTGTGTCTGCCGTCTCGCCTATAATAACCTCACTGTTGCCATCTATCTTCTTGGTTATACCCCTGCACTTGTAGAAACTGAAAACTTTACGCGTATGTTTGTCTTTATTGGCCATTTAAAGCGTATTGCTTCGAAGTTACTGACCCTACGATTCGAATCAGATACACAAGCTATTGGTTTTTAAAGCTTGATATGCTTTTTTTGGCTGATAAATATCGTTTAAATAAAAGCTTGTAACAGATTCCTCCATCCCTTAATTCTACTCTAATCGCTTTTTCTTCAAAGTGTCATTTGCAAAAACATGTACTGTTTAAGTAATCTCTCCAATGTTGTAGGTTTATTTATTGTACCCTTGTGATGATTCATTGATTGTATTTTATTTCAATATATTCATCAGTCCCATAAAAGAATGATTATATGACCCAAAGTTGGCACAATATTGGCATTCATTGGTACTTTTAATCAATACTTGTTTGATGATGAGTTGTGCAGAAGACGATGGATTAGTTTTCTGTCAGCAGTTTGTGCGAGTGCATATTGGCTTTAAGGACATTTTTCTTGACTTAATCAAATTAGTATATAAATTTTAACTGATCATTAAGTACTCGTTTTGGCTTGGTTCTTATAATAGCAAATTTGACGTGTGGCATTTTTTGAGGTATAAATCATTTCTTTTCAACTGAAGTTGGATAGCATAATGTATCCGCTCAATGCTTGGTTGTCGATATTATTTGTTACCATTGGCATAATAAGAACTGATATTATTTTTACTGATACCATTTTTACTAACCTAGTAACAATTTGTTTGCCATTACTGTATCATTATTTGGCCATATTTGCAGTCATGGCAACTTTATTATTGAGTAAGTAAAAATCAAATCGAATCCAACTAACGCAATAACCAAATAAGAAAAAAGACATTTATGTCATAGTTACAATTTTTTCCTGCTGATAAATGAGTCATTAGTTTCACAAAGTAGTTTTGAAAGTAATAAAGTTTGAAAGTAGATTTTTCTCAGATTATTTACGGATATTTTGGTCAAACTTTACGTTGTAAGTACACATAATGTTAATTGTATAGAAAATTGTTAGAAGAAACTAATTTTTTTTCATTTACTAATTCTTGGATGAAATATTTTTACGCACGAGTTGAACTATAACAATCATCTTTTCAAACTTTTTAGCTAAAATTTCGTGATTTTCACTTCAAATATCTTTCCTTGAAACAACATTGCTCCGGAGTAAATTTTACAAAAGCCCTCGATGAAATAGCGAATAAAAGTGAATGGACTATACATAGAAGCTCATCAAAGAGAGCACTTCGATTGGAGTGCCTTCGACGAAAATTGATCATGCCCAGGGTAGAAAAACCTGTTGTATCAAAAAAGAAGCCTTTCTGTTTGATTGGGAGATTCCTATTCTTCACATTTATTCGTACGTTAATTGAAATCCTTTTTAATTTTTCTAATAAAATCCCATGAGTTTTGTTATTTTCCAATGAAATAATGCATAGTATACTTTTTTTCTATACTCAAAACTCAATTTTCCTTTTAACACTGAATTAATTTCAATTGAATATTTGATATATAGTATACTCTATTCAAACTAGATCGTCTAAATGCGTAGTATCACCTTTTTTCCATCTTCACCAGAGACGGGTTACAAGCTCAAGGCTGCGTCGTAAAGAGCACCACCACTTCTTTTTAATTTCCGTGAATCGATTTTCAATTTTGCAAGCCTCGGAATCAATTAGCAAGTTCCAGACATCCAAAGCGCCAAGGTATTCGGATCTGCGCGTTATATGCCACTTCGGATCTTTAATGAAATCACTTGGCCTCGTTTAACGAAAGATGGAATCTTATTCCTCCATCCAGCTCATGCAAGGGTATCTCTATATTCGGCGAATGAAAATTACACGAAATCCAAGAGGACTTAGAGTAGAAAAGCTTCTACCAGATGCATTAGAATATTTTCAATAAGAATCTCATTTCCCAAAATGCATACGAATTGCTCGTGAATTCGTTGTTGTCCCAAGTCGGTGAATCTTAGTTATTACAAGGATGTCGTTGCTGTTTCGATTAATACTTATTAAGTAAAATAAACACAATTGTTTTCGATTTTTAGTCATTGCGTCTTTGTTTTATGAGAGGCTGTGTATTTTACAGTTTCAAAATTTTATCAAGATTTCAAAGGTGTTTCAAAAATGTTTGTAGCTATTGGCCTAGTACAGAACTGTAGTTCTACCCTCATTTTGCCTGTAATGTTAAGTCTTATGGAATACAATAGTTGCTGTGGCGGTCACCGACGGTTTTACCTCCTGTTTTCCATAAAGATACGTGTTAAAATAACAAGTGGCGCTATTCTCTCCTCCATCGAGCTTCACCGAGCGAATAGAGGCTTTTCTTTGCAAGTTTTTAAAGAAATTTCTAGAAAGTTTCAAACGATTTAACCAAGTCTTTTAGAACCTTAAGATACTTTTCGTGACTTTTTATAAGTATCCAAAAACGACTGTGTCTCTACAAAAACGCGTCTAGACGCAATAATACTAATGTTCAAGTGAACACTGAAACTAATTTCTCAACTGGTAATGTAATTAATTATCACTGTCGAATTTACTTTTACAGAATTAGTTTTACCAATGAATACACTCAATTACCACATAGATTCAAGTAAACTTGATATTCTTTAACGAACTAACTTTACCTCGTAAAGCTAGTTTTAAAAATTATCACTCGTACCTAGCGAGAATAATGAATAATACACAGGAATTACGAAAGCACTGCAAACACTCATCTCGAGCCACAGTGTATATTATATGTAGATGTCAACAATGCATCGTCAAACACACCGCGCCGAGGCAACATCTCGTGAATAAATCGCGAAGCGCTCGAATCGAGGACACGACGATGGTACGCGATCTCCAATCTAGGTATACCACGCGTGTGTGTACGAAGTAACTCCAGAGAGCAAGGATGGGAAGTGCATCACCAAGAGACATTATAGCAAGCCTGTCTGTTCGCCTTCACTTGATGTTTCCATATACAATCCCAAGGTGCGGAGCTAGTGGCACTAATCTGACCCTTCGTCCCGCAGGAGATTGGATGTGCAGCCGGGCAGCCATCAAATATTTAGTTCCATCCCGATACTTGGCGTTTTACTTATATACTTGGTGTGTTGTATGCACACGTATACACGCTCGTACGTAGATTTTAGGTATGCCACGAAAACGCTTTAAAATCCGTTAAAATCTTCTTTTATTATCCTGTTTGTCCTATATCGTTTCGAATCCTTACATCTGTCATTGTACACATGTGCATAAGTTTAAAGTACATAACTTTGAAGTAATCGATAGACATAACTTTCTTATTTAT